GTGCTTCAAGCCTCCACATCATTTTCCCAGCTCCTCATTCCCATTTTCCCAAAACAATCTCATGATGGAATAATATTTTAGTGAATGTCAACTCCAATTAGTTTTTTTAAGGTGTATATTTGCATTTAGAGCTATTTAGATTTTAAGTGAAGTAAAATTAAAAATTCAGTTTCCCAGGTGGACTAGACACTTTCAAGTCTTTAGAAGCCACATGTAACTAGTGGCTACCATATTGAGGGTACAGATTATAAGACATTTCCGTCATTGCACAGAGTAGGACAGAACTGATGCAGGATATTCCACAGAACAAAAAAAAATACAAAGGATAAAAAAGCATGTGAATAATAAGACTATTAAGTACCGGGGAGATTAGCTATCTTTCTACAGAATTTTTTTTCAAGACAAGGCATCTTTGTGTGTTGGTTTTGGGTTTGAATGTCTTCTGGACGTGGCATTTTATGTCTTTTTTTCAGCATTAATATAATTATCTATAGCCACTTGGCATTTCTCATACCCCTTTTGTAAGTTTGTTGTTCTTCCTTTTATGTAAATAAAGGAGATGTGAGGCAGAAAGTTGCTGTCCAAGGAACTCAAAAAAGAACAAAAATATCAATTCTTTGGTTTCCATTCTCCAAAAGAAAACGTGCAATTCTCTGGGCCTTATAAAAGCTTGCTGTCCTGGAATTAATAATAGTAATAGTAATAATAATAATCATTTATTTTAATCAGTTATTATAATTTTGACATTTTGCTGCTTAGAGGAACCTCCAAGGATTTTGCATATCTTCTGTTGATCTACTTCTCTTTACTCCAAAATGGAGTAGGGAAGTAGGTCAATGCCTGTGCTGAAAGCAGAAAGTAAGCACTCTCATTTTCCGCCAAACATCGTGACATTTCCCTCTTGGCTCTGAGACTGATACCACCAGTGCCCACCGGCTTAGCGCTCTCTAACTTGTGGTCTGGTTCCATATGGCATCTGTCCGGGAGGAGGAGCCTTATAGTTGGCTCTTTGCCAAGAGCAAAAGCGTAATTGGCACTCAGGCTCTTGTTGCAGTTTGTCGGATTGGTGCCAGCAGAGATGTATGTGCCTGTGTCTGGGGCCTGCACATGGCCACTGAGTCCATAGGAAACGTCCCCCTAGAGCAGCAGTTCTCAACCTGTGGGTCACGACCCCTTTGGGGGTCAAACGACCCTTTCACAGAGGTCACCTAAATACATCCTGCATATCAAATATTTACATTACAATTCATAACGGTAGCAAAATTACAGTTATGAAGTAGCAACGAAAATAATTTTATGGTTGGGGGTCACCACAACATGAGGAACTGTATTAAAGGGTCGCAGCATTAGGAAGGTTGAGAACCACTGCCCTAGAGGAACCCAGTTTATGGGATATTGAGCAGTGACAGGTGGCCTTCACATCTTCATGTGTCCAGATTCTGCAGGCACCTCTTCTAAGGGGTGTGACATAGGAAAAGTCACTTCACCTCCATGACAACTCTCAGTTACTTTATTTCCAAAATGGGGATAACGATTTCAACTTCCTGGAGTTGTCATGGTACTGGATGTCAAACACTTGGCAAAGGTTTCTAGAAAAGAGTAGGCCCTCGATAAATATTATTTGAATTAGAATTAATTCCTGTTCTGTAGTGGGGTGAGTGCTGAGGAGGTCTGGGGAGTGCAGAGAAGCGAGCTAGTCTAATTTTCTAAGCATAATATCAGATTCTAGTAAATAGGTCTTACTGAGAGTCTTGCTGAGATTTGAGGTATCTGTTCCCATAATCCTCTGAAGAGCACATTGGCTCTCCGTGGCCTCTGGCAAGTACCCCCAAAGGGTTAATCGTGGGACACAGTTTCTGGCTTCCTTAGAAGTGTCAGTGCTGGTAGCCCCATGAGGACAAAAGAAGTCAGTTAAGTCTCTGCTAGAAATGAGCCTCAGCCAGGCAGAAAGTTGGGAGTCCAAAGCAGGAGTTTGTGTGCATTAGAACAGAGTTAACTAGGCTATTGCAATACAGGGGCGGGGGTGGG